TTCACAGCTACCGCGGAGTGTGGTGCAACAGACGATATTAAAAAAAAAAAAAGAAGGAGCGGGGTGAGGAGTCGACTTGATAGAAGCGCGATGGGGAGAAGCAGGGAAGGGCCACCAGTTGCCGCCCCCTCGTCTCCACGCACACGGTCGTTTGTCTTTCTGTTGTTGTTGCTGTTGTGCGTTTCTGCCACTGACCTGCGTGGTGTCTTTCGTTGTCTCGCCGCTTCAGGCATGAAGCCCGCCCCTAAATGCACCTGGGCCCTCTCTCTCTCTTTCTCTTACAGAGCCTCTTACACAGGCACTTACACACATACACATAGTCTTAGCGCGAGGGACGATATACATCAAGTGAGGCGACAATGCTGCTCCGTGTTCGTGGCAACGGCGCCTCTCCCGAGAACTCGCAGGCTGCACTGGTGTACCTGCGCGGCTTCCGTCTGTCGAACACACGTCCGNTGTTCGTGGCAACGGCGCCTCTCCCGAGAACTCGCAGGCTGCACTGGTGTACCTGCGCGGCTTCCGTCTGTCGAACACACGTCCGCCGGTGGGCGTGTACACCAGCAGCAGCACAGAACAGCCGCTGCTGTACTCGCACTTCCACGTCGGCATACAGGCACCGTCAGGCACCTCTGATGCAGAGTTGAGTAGGCAGCTACGCCGTGTCGCGTGGAAGGAGATCTGGAACATGTATGACATTGTCTACGACGAGGTGCGTCTCTTCCCTGATCCAAACATCACTACGGCTATGCTCTCCTCCTCTGCACCTTCCACGGGAAACAGCGAGCAGGAGACCGCTGCCGCAGCGGCAAGCTTTACCCGACTGACGGCGCGTAGCGGGGCGCAGAAAGCCGTTGTGGTCACACATTACCTTGAGAACGGGGATACACTTCGCGGAGAAGACGATGTGAATGCGGAGATTGTTGTACTGGATGCGTCTGCTGTACCACTGGGGGAGGCGGCGACGCGCATTGCTGTAGAGGTCGGCTGGATAGCCGCCTACGCGACCATGCAGGGCGCCTTTGAGAGGGTGGNTGCTGTAGAGGTCGGCTGGATAGCCGCCTACGCGACCATGCAGGGCGCCTTTGAGAGGGTGGCATCGGTGGTGGTGCGCCTGCCGTACGCTTGCGACATCGTGGGGGCGGAGCGGAGCCCTGTTGTGCAGGAGGGGCTGAATTTCATTGGCGAGCACATCGCCTTGCTTGCAAAGAGCTTTACACAGAGGCAGCAGGGTGCTGCGGCGCCTGTTGTTGACGTCTGTTTCATCGGCTCAGGTGAGGCCCAGCTCCAGGGGACACTGACACGCCTCTGTTCCCGCCACCAGGCGAGTGACACGGACGACCAGAACCAACAAAAAGTTGCTGTCTTCATTGGCGATCACCACCAACAGCAGCAGCAGAATGAGCAACGTGAGCTATTGCAGTCTATTGCATCATCGCTGGAAGTGAACGTGTGCCTCGAGGTGGTGCCGTTGAAGTGTTTGCTGGAAGGCGGTGAGGAGCCGTGGGACCCGGCAACAACTCGTGAGAATCAGGTGCTGAACTTCTGCCCCTGCTGTGGGCACTGCGGCGGCCACTAAAGCGTAAGTAACAGCCACAACGGCGGGATGAGGAGGGGGAACAGGAGAAAAACTGAACGCGGAGGTGGTGCCGTTGCCTGAGGCCCCCACTTCTCAAGGGTGGGGTGGGGTAGGGGGGGGGGCACGAAGGCGAGCAAGACACAAGAGTAGACCGCCAATGATCACAACGCCGTGAACGTGGGCGGTGGCGGGATGGGTGCGTGTGTGTGTGTGTGTGGTCGTTCTGCGGTTTCTTTTTCTTTTTTTGCCCCCCTTTCTTTTTCGTTGCTCAATGGAAACCGCATGTCGCTAACTTTATGCCTGTTCTTCTACAGAGCCGGTCCTTTAGCTGTCGGTGCGGCGTGATTCTTTCCCCGCCACCCCCTCCCTTCTCTTTCTTCTTCTACTTGCCACCAGTGTGCCACACGAAACATACGCCCCTGCAGAAGAACGACAGGGCAGCGCCGTAGGCTTTCGTGAAGCGTAGCAGCAGGAGACGTGCGTGCAGCACGACTATCACCACCTCAGTGTAGTCGCTGCAGCGTCAGGAGCTGGGGTACGCCACAGCAGGAAACATCAAGAAGCTTGAAGGGAGCACAAAGCCGCATCCTTTCGTCCCTCCTTCCTTCTCTTCCATCTTACTTCCTCTAGAGGCGCGGCCATGCCCCGTGGCGCCGGTGATCCCCACGAGAATTATCTCTCCCGCTACCGGCTGCGGCTTCTGACGGACGAGTGGCTCGAAGCCGTGGCGCAGGCGCGGCCGGCGGACCCTTTCTCGTACCTCGTTGGCCTCATCGAGGACTACAGCCGCGACGGCCGAGGCCTCGTCACGTGTGAGAACAAATGGTGCGAGATGGTCGTCCCCGCCTCGGAGTACGCCGCGCATCTGAGCTCGTGCTCGCAGGAGGGCAAGTGGGTGAAGTGCACACGCTGCAACACGCGGGTGGAGGCGGCCCGTATGCGGCAGCACAAGCGGCACTGCCACCTGGAGTGCTGCGCGTACTGTGGGGAGATGGTGGTGCCACGGCTTCGGGACGTCTGCCCGTACAGACTCAAACTGGACGCTGAACGGGCAGGTAGGAGACGCACGCAAACGACCATGAAGCGTGCGGATACCACGTTGAAAGAAACAATTCATCAAACATCATCCTTGCCCAACTTCTCTGTTGACTCGTCCGCACCTGATGCGCCACTGTATTCACGAGTGCCGTTAAGCTTCCCTTCCGCATTGAAGGGTCGACTGATTTGCTTTCAGAATCTCTGGCGTAGCGCTGCTGTGAAGGAGCGGCTGCAGGACATGACGTTCAAGCGCGTATGGGAGGCGTTGGAGTTTTACCGCGAGAGTCTCGCCACACGCGAACACATTGCTGTCTCTGAAAAGGTTGTGAGGGAGTCTTCACCACACCACTCTCCTCTTCGCTTGGGAGCACCAGCACCAGTGCTAACAACAACATCAACAGCAGCCGCGGCAGCTGCAGCCGCAATTGGGAAAACGGGGGGTGGCATCTCCATTGCGGAGTTCGAGACGGTGGCGAAGACGGCGACGTCGGGGGCGGTAGTAGAGCTCGCCACGGCGGTGCGCATCGTCTCGAGTGCAATCGCCATTCTCACCGCGCGCCCGCTTGTGCAGCGCGTGACAGTTCCAGAGGAGGGTGACGTTGTTGTCATTGGCGACCTCCATGGCCAGATGAAGGATCTTCTCGAGGTGCTTGCCCTCACGGGCCACCTGCCAAACCAGCAGCGGTACTTTGTCTTCAACGGCGACTTTGTTGACCGTGGACCGAACGGCATGGAGGTAATTCTGTACATCTTCTCCCTTATGTGTGCATTTCCGTCGTTTGTCTTCATCAACCGCGGCAACCACGAGGACTCCCGCGTTAACGCGGAGTACGGCTTCCAGACGGAGGTATACGGCAAGTACGGCCTGGAGGACGCGAAGCAGCTCATGGAGCTGCTCGTCGCCAGCTATGAGGCGATGCCACTGATGACAGTGCTGGACGAGACGATCCTCATTGTGCACGGTGGCGTACCGCGGACCGCGGTGACGCTCGAACACATCGATGCGGTGGGTCGGATGCGGGACATCCCGACCGCGGGGCAGACAACAGAGGCGGAGCAGATCGTTGTAGACATTCTCTGGAACGACCCGGTGGAGAAGTTTCGTTCGCGCCAGCTCGGGCTGCGGCATCAGGGGCAGCACTGGCGCACCAGCAAGCGTGGTTGTGGCGCGGAGTACCTCGCCCCAATCACGGAGGAGTTCCTGCGGCTTAACCACCTCAAACTGGTGGTGCGCTCGCATGAGATGGTGCAGGCAGGGTTTGCACTCGTGCACAATGGAAAGTGCTGTACTGTATTCAGCGCGTCCGACTACGCTGGCGTCTCCCGCAATCGTGCGGCCCTTGCAATGTTTCAAAAAGGTTCGCTGAAGCCTGCCTTTTATACCTGGTACGTGCGTGACGAGGATGAGGGTGGGGCAGGGTCGCCAACAACAAGGGAACTCCTGCGTAATTTCAGGCTTTCTGCCGTTGACGATGAAGATGGGGAGGAGATGAACGGTGACGAAGGAAAGAATAAGAAAGAGAAGAGTGACGCTACTGCAGAGGTGAGGGGATCTGTTGGCATAGGTAAAAATAGCACCACCGACATCATCAATGGTAATGACAGAGGCAGTGGCGTGGGTACAAAATATCCAATTTTGACGGATGGACAGCTGCTCTACCGACTAAACATGCTAAGGGCGATGAGTGAGATTATCTACCGTAAGCGGTACGCGTTGCTTTCTGGTTTTGTTACCGCTGACTACCGACAAAACGGTGCCATTTACAAGATTGAGTGGTGCGATGTCATGCGCAATGTCCTGGACATGGACCTGCCGTGGTACTTCCTCTGTCAGTTTCTCGCGACGCAGCAGGAGATGGATGATGTACCTTCTGTGCGGTACGTGCCGTTCCTGCGAAGGTTCACCGCGCGCTTCTCAGCACAATACTTGCCTCCCTTCCAGCTAGCCATTGTGCGTCGCATCTTTGGCGACATGGACATGCCCGAAGATATACTGAACCGACTTGACAAGTCGGAGCTCTCTGCCACCATCTCCGTCTCGCATGGGCTGTATCTCTCTGCCACTGAGGGACAGAACAGCACGTCGAATTTGCTCTCTGACGGTGCCCCCGGTTTCGCGCGGCCCAAATTATCATCTCAGAGGAGTTACGATGTGGTGGGAAGCGAAACGCCTCGGTGCCCCAGCTCCCGCGAGCGGTGGCGCATGCTGAGACTTGACTTCAATCTGCTCGTATCGATCCTCCGCTCGCAGTCGGCTGTGGCGGCATCACTGGAAGACAACGCCATGTATGCGCTGTTTCAGTACCTTGACCAGGACGAGTGCGGGCATGTGACCCTCGGCAACCTTACAGACCTCGTCGAGAACGCGCTTGCTGGTGAGGCGGAGGAAAGCGTGGTCGTGGTACAGACATGCGACCCATTCAACATGGACTTTAGTTTCTCAGTGAAGGACAATGCGGAGACACACACAAAGCGAGACGATATGGCTGCCATGGCTCCACCTTTTGCAGCTTCAACTCCAGCTTTAACTCCTCTAGTTTCGCCGATAGCGTCAGCGGCAGCGCATGATAAAGGTGGAGTGCGACCGGCTGTCACAATCGACAGTGCGGCTTTGGCATGCGAGGAGAAGCCGCTGGTGGGGCCAGGTGAGAAGCTGCGCCTCTCGTCACTTGTCATTGCGTGCGAGTCGGACGCCACAGGTACACACCGTCCGACGCGACGACGCACAATGAGCCGCTCAGTGAGTCGACAATCAATTGACGCCGGCGACGAAAGCACTGCAGAGGCGCTCTGGCTCTACCCGGCGTTGCTGCGCCTCCACGAGAGCTTTGACTACGGCTCACTGAGGTCGTTGCAACAGAGCTTTAGATCACTCAACCGCACCGGAGACGGTAAGCTCACTTTTGATCAGTTGAACGTGGCCCTACAGCTCATCGGTAGACACATGTTGAGACCACTCACCGCTGCGCAGTGCAACCAGGTTTTTTCTGCGATACGTGACGTTGGGCAGCTGCTGTCCCAGTCACGCCCGAATGACGGCTTTGCGGATAGCCGCGCTGTCTTTCCGAACGAATTGCTGACGCCAGCGGCAGGGGAGGAATCCACGTTGGTGCGGAAGGATTCTGACACGCAGGAACCAATGTTTATCACCTTGGCTCAGTTTTCCGCGTTCTTCACTACCACAATGTTGCGATCGTACGGACAGGGATCCAGCACTACGAGCGAAAGCCTTAAAATGATGCGGCTTGATGAAACTTCCATCAGCACAGCGGCATTCAAGAGTAGCAAGGTACAGGCTGCACAGGATCTGGTTCGGCAGACTCTCCAGTCGGATGTACTCGGCTCATGGACCGTAGAGTCGCTCTGGGCGCGGTTTGATGGCCGTCTGACGCTGCGACAGGCGCTGCAAGATTTGCTAGGCTCATCGTCGACAACGACACCATCGTTGCAGCCTGACCTCACGCCAAGGTATCGTGCCCCCTTAGCCGGCACGCTGTCGCCGCCCCTCTCGCCCGAGGCGAACAAGGGCAGCGGGATGCCGTCTATTGTCTGCACACGAGAGCCACCAGCGTGTGGCGCAACGAATCTGCAGGGGGGCGCCCAAGCGGAGCCGCTGTGCTCCACGTTGCACGAGACGAGGAAGCTTAAGCCGGAACTAATCCAAGGCACGAAGGAGCTTCCGCCTACTGCAACGCCAAGGATTCCATCTCCACCAGCTGCATTAACAAAAGAAACTACCCCAACGACGGTGGAGGGCGGCACAAAGCTTAGCGGCAGCTCTGAGGACAGCCGTGCCAGCAGCCTGACCCCGGCGCAGGTGACGTGGAAGCGCCGCCAACTTGATCTGCAGGTGCCCCCCACTCAGCCGCTCCCCACGTCCACCGAGCCGCCGACCAGCAGCGACAACGCTCTCCAAAGCCGCGGCATTCGTGGCGAGTACCCGCTGCGGG